CAGTCATACTATGTTCATCGAAGAACTTAATCTCCATAAAGTAGGCACCACCACAAGGGGTTGGATCTTCCAAGATCAATTGTCGCACATAATTTTTTGAATATGCTTGTTGCAATATAGATACGTTTCTCGGCATCACAAAAGTGTACTATATAACGCACTTGGAAATATTCAGAAAATGAACAAAATCTTTACTCCAATTTTTAACTTTGGAGCAGAGAATTTTCTATAAATTTCAACCTTTTTTGAGTTTTTCTTTCTCAACTAAAAACACGAAATTATTTCAAGAAAAATGAATCCAAAGCTATCCCAACACAACAAATTCACCGTCCACAAAATGATCCACGCCAAATTAGGGTATATTCTCTTTACCATTTTCAAATTGTTTTCTGTTTTTTATTTTTCAAAACAGTGAAAATGCATTCTCTTTCCTATTTTCGAAAACGCGTTTTTGAAAATAAGTTAAAAATTTATAAAGAAAACACAAAACGACAAATTTGTTATTTTGAGTGTTTTCAGTTATAATCAAGTCAAAATTTTCAAAACGCGTTTTGGATATTTTCAAAACAATTCTTCAAAATGTCAAAAAGAACATATTTTCAACAATCTCAAAATGAACACTCATGACATTAAACTCAAAATGAATTCAAAACTCAAAACTGAAATACAAAGAGAACAACCTCTTAGTTTCTTCGTTGTCGAGAAGAATCAAGAATCCGTACAATTCGTGGAGCTCCAAAATCCCATGAGTCAGAGAGATTTCTACACAAACTACAAGGATTGAATGGTAAAAATGAAAGAGAGAGAGGGGGGGCGGGGGGGGGTGGTAACAAAAATATATTTTCGCCAAGTGCAACGGTATGTGAATGAGAATCATGAGATTAGACTGGAAAAGAAAACTATTTCCACCAGAAAAAGTGTCAAAGAAAAAAAAAATAATAAATAAATAATTAAGATGGTGGCTGCAACACCCTGGAAAATAATTAGAAGAAATTCGGAACAGCTCTTTTAGGATAAAGTTGTATAGAAAATGCCAAAAGTACCTACTGATAGTAGCTAAGCTTTCATTAACATTTTTGCTTTTAATCACTGTAAGTGCTTTTAATTTAAGCTTATGCATTATTAAGTCACTTCGTAATTTTGCATTTGCTACAAATTGCAGAGAGTCAAGAATAAAATGCCATTTGTTCTTCGAAAAGAAAAAAAGTATGCTCAATGTTTACTACTTATTCATAAATGTTCCCCTTGGCATATTTATGCATCCATACCTTTGGTAATTTATTTACTTTTGTTTGCCAAAAATTATAAATTATTTATAAATGGTCAAACTTTATCTTCAACGACACATTTTAACAAATTCACAAATAATATCCACTCAACAGTCACTCATTTTTATTTAATCAACATTTATTCACCGAATTCATCTACAACATATTTACAAAGAATATTTAGCATAGCAAATTGTAATCTATAAACTTCTACCTGTTTCATACAGTTTTTTTTTTTTACACTAAACATTCCAAATTACAAGATCCTCCCACATCTCTTCCAAACAATGCTCCTTCGAGTCCCTCCAATAAAATTTTCTAACAAGACTCTATCGATAACTTTTTACCTGTCTCATATTTAAATTACATAAAACGATTTAAATTACAAGATTGTCTCATATTTCACTCAAACATTTTAGAATGTTCCTTCAAGCCCTCCAAGATTGTCTCATATTTCACTCAAACATGCTTATTTTAGAGTAAAATCAAACGTTTTTTTTTTTGTCAATAAAGAAAACTCAAATTAATTAACCAACTCATTAAGAATCTTAAATATTTTGCTTTGTGTGCTCGTCAATTTGTTTTAGAGTTGTGTTATTTATAGTCAACGAGTGCATTAGTTATCCTACGTGACAGCTTCTTATTTGAAATAACAGAATTATCGAAAATTAGTACCACATATGATGTCTACTGCAATCGCTGATTATCAATAGTATTATAAAAATGTATACTACAAAAAAAAAAAAATAAAGCAAGAATTTACGATAAAGATTTTAATAACAAAACCTCAATAGTTATTAAATGCATTTTGTCATTAGAAATTTGTCGGGGAGAACCAAATATTGATTTAGCCGTGTTTGATTTTGCTAAAAATTTAGATGTTAATAATAGTTGATGAAATGTATGATTAAGAATTTGATAAAAATTGTGGCCCATTATTTTGTCGTTAAAATCAATCATGACAATTTTTGGTTGTCCAATGTGAAAATTAATGAAAAATATATTTTGTTGTTGCAAAATAAATAATATTCACGACAATTTTACTTTTGCTTGTTGAACTCCTTACCAGCGAACTATTAGTAAGAAAGTTTATTTTGTTGTATGTTATCTATAACGGGATATTGAGTTTCAACAACAATTTGTTTCATCGTTGAAAGTGATTATTTTTATAGTGCTAACCGCCAATTAACATCAATTAAGTGTCAAAGTTTTTCAAGTCACGTGATTCGATTTTTATTTTTGGCATGTTTTGAAAAAAAAAAAAAAAAAAAAATCATGATCTTGATTCTTGATTATGTAGTGTTCATCGGTTTATGTTGTTTAATTAATTTATTTATTTTTGAATTATCGTGGTTTTGAAATTGAAATGCATAATTTTATTTATTTTTTTATTTTATTTTATTTTTTTATTCTCCATAGTTTTATCGTAGGTTTTAAAGTCCAATTGCATAAAAATTGACCATCCTCGCGTTTTAAGGAAAAATGTGTATTGATGGTAGTAGGATGTTTGGCTTCTTTTGAATGATTTGATGTCTCACATGTTATATTTTGAATCCTATTGTGTACAATATGCTGTCAAAATTTTGGCAGAATACACTTAGTAATTTTTTATTCAATAATGGCAAAAAATAAAAAAAAAAGACCAACCAGATGCTGCCACATCAGCATCCGAGGAAATTCTGGAATCTCTGCTTCTGTACAAGATGAGAAATTCTTATATTTTAGTTGAAGACTCACTATTATTAAGACATCATCCTTTTTTTGTAGTTGATTGAACCTTTGNTTGATTTCTTTGTACCATTCTGTCATCGATCACTGCTGGGTCGGTTGGTGAGTCACCCAAAAAAAAAGCATCGAGAAAGGTCAAGCATATATGTTTTATGAAATGATCAGCGCTTTCATTTATGCTATGCCCTGCATCGTGTTCCTGTGTGTTTATTGAGCTTTCTTCACTTCAGCGCCATGCGCTTTGCTCCGCTTTATAGAAGAGAGAGACCCTTTGAGAGTGAAAAGCAAGGGCAAGCAATAGAAAGGATAGTCCCTCGCGCGAACTACAACTACTAGAAAATGGTGAGATCATTAGTGAAAGAAGGACCAACGACGATCCTATCCTAAAGGAGAAGGAGGAGTAGGAGGAGTAAGTTTTCTTTGAAGATCTAGGAAGAAATCGGACAATTATGCCATTCGGAAGAAGTATTCTACAGAAGAAAAGCCTGTTACGAGTAAGTGGAGAAGAAAGATCTACAGAGATTCTTATCTCATTCCATTCCAGTGGCTCAACCAGTAACCAATGGCGAAAACTAAAAAATCCATGGTTTCCCGGTAGAACCCTATTTCGCCCAAGTTGTTTCGGAACCGGAAAAAAGAAGCGGTTTTTCGCACAGCTTGCTCATAGTGCAGGTCCCACTTGTATATTGTATTTGGCCGAAGAAGCATCAGACAGGTTGGAGTTCTTACCTTCTTGGGACTCCATGGACCAAGATCTGCTTTTATTATATGGTCAATACCGATCTACTTTAGTAGATCATATGGATGTAGAAAAAGCTTATTATAATTTTGATGAATTGGAAACATCTCTTTTCCATTTCTATTTACCCAGTTCATATCTTTCTTTCGTGTGTTCCCGGGAGGAATTCGATCTCTTCAATCTCGGAATACCACCTAAATAACTGCGGCCAGAGAGTCAAATAGGTCGGGAAGAAAGAGTCTGAGGTCGGGTTGGACGACATACATCTTGGTTGGTCCCACCATCACTAGAGATTGGACATATATATAATCTTTCTTCTCGGCGTAACGAAAGAACTAGATGAGGAGAGGCCTCAGGTTTCAAATCCCTACCCTACGCCTTACGAGGGCGCCCTAGCCAGATTCAATCCTAAGCCCAAGGGTCAATCAAGCCTTTGAAACTAGTTCAAATAGTCGTCACAATCTTCGTTCCTGCTTTCAACGAGACTTTCTTTCTTAGCTGCATCAGCTTGTCAAACTCTCTCTCCTTCACCAGGAAAGGGAGAGCGGACAAAGTACCAGACGATTTGGGAATGATTTTGGGTAAGAAGAGCGTACGATAAGAGTAAGCAGACGATGTCGATAGAAGACGATTTCGAGCATAAAGAGAGAAAAGAAGAAAAAGGAACTCTTTAGCAAGAATCTAGGTTTAGCAAGATAGCTGCCAGAAAGACTGAGCTTAGGTGCATAGCGCTTAAATAAGTGGTTGAAGAGCAGCTTTCCGTCCCGACAATGACTACTTACTTTCCATTTGGGGGATTTCACTAAACTTCTTGACTTCCCAGCTTCACGCTCTACTTTAGACTCTTTCCCGAAGAGAGCTCCAACCAATAGATGAGATTAGAGACGCTAACATAACAGGGGCAGGAGACATATCTTTAAGAACCAAGAACGGGATATTCGCATTAGCAGAAGGAGGAGAGCGAAGAGATGAGCACTTTGAAAGCAGCTTTCCTTAACGAAGTCATCTATGTGACCAATGCACGCTTCAAAGAAAGCAAAGAGGGATGCTCGCTAGCAGCGCAAGGTGATAGAAGACCAAGGCAGGGCTCTTGTTGACAAAGCCAAAAGTCAAAACTGGGGTGGGGACGATTTTCACTTACCAAATGTGAGTGGCTCCTGCCTGTAGAAATGCTGTCCACCAATTTGCATAATTGTCAAAAACAAGAATCAGCCAAGAAAAACTCGAGTAAATTAGAAGATTATACAAGGCAGATGAATAATTGAAAGAAACACCGATGCATTTAATTGAAAATATGTTTACAAGTCCATGGTAGTTTGCTCTCATCAAAGCCAAAAAAATCCTCTTAATAGTACATATTGAATTCAAGCATAGGAATATTGGGAAAGTGAAGTTGCAGTGAAAATCAGCAATAATGCAAATTGATAGCCTTTTCTTATAGGCGGCTGATAACCTCTTCAACCTCAGAAGGTGAGTACAGATGGTAAGTTGGTGCTACCTTCGCAATATCAACATTGTTGGGCGTAACCTGAAATCAGAAAACAGATGGACAAAAGTATATAGAAACGACCGTCCAACATATAAAAAGCATGAAGCCTAAAATCAACATTTGCCAAAAGCAGCATACCTTTTCTTCCATCACTTGCTTCAGTATGGAAAGCGCAATGGTTTCTGCTTCTTTCAGGGTAAGATCCTGTAAGAAAGCAAACAAATGTAATTCAATATCAAAGTTTACTAGTTCACCTATGTATCATTTTCTGAATGCTTAGGTGGATAATGAAACATCATAATTGTGGTGGTGGTGGTGGTGATACATATAAAAAAAATTCCATAATATATTTTTTTACCTAGAAATAAATTTTTCTACCCTAAAAAAACTAACGGGCTTTCAACAGGCCTGGGCTTTCCTTCCCTCTGCCCCTGATCCTAGACGGCTTCTTAAAACTGCACAATTAGCTCCAACACCATGAAGGTTCAATTTACCATAATGGCTGGTCACTTTTGGTTTAGACTATTTTAGTTGATTTGATTGGAAAAATTGATTTGATCATTTCTACTTTTTAGTGAGGTGGTTGATTAGGACATCAAAATTGGTTAATTTATCAAGTTACTACCTGAAATGTTTTGAAACAATCATTTTTAGGGCTTGTTTGAGCCAAATTTTTTAGAGAAATGTATTTTTGAATATTGATTTTTTTAAGAGTGATGTTTATGAACATCATATCAAATGTCTTAGCACAACTATGGTGCCTCCTAGCAAGAATAAAGTTACATTGACCTGTCCATGTTAAAAAGTAAATTACCTTGTTGAACTGCTCCTGCAGAGAACTGTCAGCACCTTCAGAACCTGATCCAATGGCTTTTGCAGTGCATTGCCAGAAAGTACCAGAAGGATCCGTATAGTACCTGTGCATTGAAAATCCCTTTCAATGTCAATTGTCTTTCAATGTCAATTGTCTAATTTATAATCCTGGCAGCAATATACTGAACCAAAACATTCTGGTTGAAAATGCTAGAAAAAGGTTTATTTTCTAAATGATTAGCTTGCACCAGAACTTTCAATAAAGGAAATAACTGAAGCAGCACATTTAGAAGAGAGGATTGAGAATCCATACTTAAACCACATTCCAATCAACAACTAAGGAAACAGTCATGACCGCACACATACCTCGACTGTGAATGGTACAGATTAAATATGTATCAAACAAAAAGTCCATTTTGACCATCCACATTCATTGGGAGAATGATGCGGAATGGAATAAATGTATCTTTGAATTCTTATATTTAGTTTTTAAAACTATGTAAGATTGCGTGAAAGCGAAAAAAAAAAGCTTTTAGTACAGACTATTCGAAGCCAAATATAAAATTCTTAAGAAAATAGAAGTAATGCTACGATGTCAACTTCCACAACACTTGGGCATACATTCTACATTCAGTGTTCCTTACCTACATTTTTATTGTGGAGAGGAGATTTGGGTGGTCACCAGCAAGCAATCCCAAGCTAGTTTCTTACATTGAGAAGGTAATGATGTAGAAAGGGATTAATCAGTGTAAGTGAGAGTGAAATAAGCAGTCTTTTATTTAGCCCCTATTTTGTTGGAAAAAAAATCAAAGTTTTATTAGATTTCTATAAAAGTTGGTGATACATGTGGTTGAAAATTTGATAAAAGTTGTAGGTCCCATGAAATATTTGTTTGAGAATGAGTTTGGGAAAATATGAATTTTAAGGAATTGGGGCAAACAGTGTCTTAGTTTATTAGAAAGAAATTATTAATTTTTTAGTTACTTTTGGAAGCTTGGGAGTGAAAGAGTCAAAACAGTAGGTTTGTTTCCATAGTTTTATTACTATGGAGATACCAAATCAAGAAATTATAGGTGTCATTTCTTAAATTAGGAGTCACTATTTAATTTACATGGTCTCTGCAAACTGTAAAAAAAAGGCAGAAATCTATCTTCAAGACTCGTTAACAGAATTTATCAGATGTTATAGCTTCCAATTTCAAAAAATTTCTCCTCTAGATTTTTCCCCAGAAGAAACTGGAGTCAAACAGATTTTGGAGTATCTTATGCCTGCGTTAGAGAACCATGTGATTAAATATAAAAGCGCTAGAAAGTTGAGACACCTTCCAATACCTAGCCATGAGAAGCAACAAACACATATGTTTAGGTAATTGAATAAAGCTATATCAGACCAGGAATTTCAGGAAGAAAAATCTAGAATCTCCAAGGATGTAGACTATGGTTGATAATCCAGTAACTGTAAAACTAATGACTTGTTTGGTATTGATTTAATTCAGATTTTAATCTAAGTCAAAGTCAAACAATCCATATTAACCACACCGCAATTTTTCAACCACACATTTCAAAAACTTTTATCAAAATCTATTAAAAATCTAATTTTAATCCCCACTAAACATGAGCTAAATCATCATTATAAAGGTTGTATAAGGGAAACAAAATCAATTAAAAATCATTTTTCTACTCAAACTGAAGTATCAAAATTTCCCAGATCTTTTGATTATGTACGACCCTTCTTAAGTAAACAGTATACAAGGACAAATATTTGATTATAATTATAAATCACATTAGAACTTCTAACCTCCTGTTGCTAGTTACATTTTTTATTCACATCATCATTTTCATCTCAAATTAGCAAGAAACCCATAACTTCTTTACTGATTCTTTCAGTATTCAGAATGTTCCCGCATATCCGTCACATTAATAAATCTCACAAGATTTAGTTAAAACAAAATATGAAACTTCAATTTAGTATCAGGCAGGAGAAACATGAGCAAACCCAAGAAAATATTCCAGACAACTAAAAAATGAAGCAGAAAGTAGAAATAGCCTACACCAATTTAAACACGCGAAATACTTACAAGCTGGGTCCATTCTCATCATGACCAGCAATGAGAAGGGATACACCAAAAGGTCTAGACTGCAAGAAAGAAACCAAAAATTAGAAATGTGTATAATTATTACGTTCAACACTACACACCTTCAAGAGGACAAAAGAGAAAATAATCGTGAACATTGACAGAAAAAGAACTATATCTCATAAACACTTCAAGAACAACAAACTCACAATGCACAGATAATATTCAGGACTATCATGCAGGGTTAAGTACCATTTATGATTGATTGAAGGTCCCAAGCTAATATGAAACTCTAATGAAAACTAGAGAAGCAAATTTTACAAATGACACGCAACCAGTACCAAAGGGCATATTTAGCTCCTATTTGATCTCCATTATAATTTAATTCATTTTTTACTCTCCTCATTTGGCATACTTAGCCCCTGTTTGGTCTCCATTATAATTTAATACATTTTTCTTTCTCCTCATTTTAAATACACATTCTCTAATAAAATAATATTACGTGTAAACCCAAAATTTTTCCTTCGTTATTAACCACATATTCTTCAAACAAATCACTATTCCAAAATGCATTATCCCCAAAACTCATTATAATGGATCCCAAACAGGGGCTTAATGTATCTGAAAAAATGAGAACAAATATAGGGAAAATTTAATGGAGAAAGAAGATAAGCTAACCATAGATTCTTCGTCACCCTCACCAAATCGCAGGGCAAGATCACAGAGAGCTTGTGTAGTGGACTCAACTGTCATGGGCTCACCATATGAGAACCTATGATTCTACAAGATACAGAACTGCAAAATAAGCAATTGACTAATATCAATATAGACTATGAAGCACAATGATTGTAGTCTTTAAGTACCTGAGTTTCAACACGTGCATGTTCAACCAGTGTACGGGCATCAGCAATTAAGCCACTCATGGCACAACCGATATGATCATCAATTTCCATAATTTTCTCAACGCTGCTAGGCTCCTGTAAGAATTTAACAATATGATATTTTTCAAAGCACGTAATTTTTCTTTTTAAACATAAAAGAGAGCTTATGCACAATAAGTGTTAGTCAATAATATTTTATTCTTATCTCACGGGAGAAATTTGGCCCCTGGTTGACAACCATTCCATCAAAACTCTTTTTTCTTATCCTCATTTTTAACCACACATTCTCACGGAAAAATATTCTTCGCGTAAACCAAATTTCTTTTCCAACTTTCTAACCACACATTCTCCGAAAATTTGCTATTCAAAAACTAATCCTTCCCAAAAAAATGGCTGTCAAATAGGGGCTTGGACTTCTAGCCTGTAGTAATTAGGATTTGTAGGCATTTCCATCTACTTAAAAAATGAACCTACAAACTCAACTGAACTTAGTCTTACCATCCTATGCTTATCTGTGGTAGGCCAAAATACACTAGCAAAATTTGTTATTTACGCATGTAATCCAATAGCATCAAGCAAGTAATTTTTGTCTTGTTAGTCATGCAATCATCGAAGAGTAAATATCTTTATGAAAGTTAAAACCCTCAAAAGAACAAATTAATTCACATCATCTGCACATTCGTAATCAACAAGGTTATGTGAGTCTGCAGACGCAGTCTTATAAGATTAAAGAAAAGAAATTAAAAAGCCTCAAGGCCAAGAATACAATCTAGAAATACAGTCACAGAGTTCGATATGAATTCAATTCCCCAAAATAAGCAGATCAGTGAAAAATACATTAAAACCCCCACCAAAAAGAGGATAGCAAACATACCAAAAGAGGCGAGGTAATGCGCTTTTCAACAGCAAGAACCACCCCTTCCTTAGTTTTTACCCCTATTGCTGTCGAACCCAACTGAAACACACTTAAAATAGCATTAATTTTAAGAAAAATTCACGTAAAAAAATCAACAACAAAAATTAAATTTGTGGAATCATTTCAGCTTCCATAGTAACCTTGATAGCTTCAATGGCATATTCGACTTGAAACAATCGGCCTTCCGGAGAGAAAGTGTTGACTCCTCTATCATACTCAGTCCTTAAAATGCAAAACAAAATTTAAATTAAACCAAAAAAAACCCGGAAAACCTGAAATAGAGTTTAAAATTTCATTTTTACCTTGTGAGGAACATTTTCGAGTCAATTAATTATAGCTTCAGAATTTGCTGTAAATAACTCGAAATGACAGAAATTTAGAAATTTCAACCACAAATTCGTCGTATTAAAACCCTAATTTCTCTGAGGTAAAGGAAAACATAATAATAATAATAATAATAATAATAATAATAAGCGATAAAAATTGAAAAACAAAAGCCGATTTGGGTGTGACTGACCTTCGATAGTGAAAATGAATTTCTGAGAACCCTTGTCAAGCAAGCAAGCAAGTAGGGGGATTCGGGTCATGGGCTGGACCGTTAAGTTTGGGCTACTCTCTAGGCCCAAGTTTGACATGAATATTTACAAAAAACTGATAATGGAAAAAATACATAACTAAATATTAAATTAAAAAACTGATAATATGATGGGAAAAATTCATAGATCGGGTATTATCTATCATGAAATCAAAAATTAGGCACCAAATTTGAGAATTACAAAAATCAGCTTTTTTCAAGAATTAATTAATTATATTTTACAATTATTATATTAAATTAAATATTTAACTGTAATATAATATAATTAACCCACCCCACCCCACCCCACCTCCACCACCTCGACTACTCCGGCAATTACTTCGGCGACTGTTCTCCAACCGCACTTAATTCCGGCGACTATTCCGGTGACCGTTCGCCACCGTTTAATTTCCGGTAACTGCTCCAATTCTAAGCTCACAGATCAAAAAAATTATAAGTCACAAATTTTTAATTGGTCACAAGTTAAAAAAATTGTAGATAACAGAGATCACATATTTCCAAATTTATTGGTCACATATAAATGAATTTTAAAGTCACGGGACCATATAGTTGGTCACATACACCCAAACACGTCCCCCAATCCCAGTACATCACCAATACTTGGTCACAGATCGACCAAATAGTTGGTTACAGAAGTTCTTCGTCCCATCCGTCGGCTGCTTATATCGCCACAACTACCCACCAACAATAACACCAACAACAACCACCACCCAAACCGCCTACACAGCACCCCCATCATCATCACCTCGTCACAACACCACCACAACCACCGCCATAATAATAACAAAAAACAACCATCCCATCGCCGCCGCCGCCACCACCACCACCGTCGTCGACCCCACCACAACCATCACCACAACAATAACAAAAAACGACATCCACCACAGATCCACCACACGGACCACCACACACACACACACATAGATCTACCACACGGATTCCACATACCCACCCATCACCACAGCACCCCACCCATTAGCCACAGCAGCGTCGCTACAGACCTCCACACACCCACCCATCAGCCACAGTCACCCATCAGCCACAATCGCGACACTGAAGACCTCCACACACTTACCCATCAGCCACAGCAGCGTCACGACGTCGACGGCAGCATCGCTACGTTGCTGTTAACGGCAGCTGCGTCAAGGCGCTGCTACGATTCACAGCAACGCCTCGACGCTGTGAACGGCTCCTGACGCCGATAGGGAAGAGAAGAGAGGGAAGGAGGGATAAGGGAGTAGGGGGAGGGTAAGCAGAGAGAGACGATGGAGAGAGGGACGAGGGTGGGGGGTGAGGAATTGATAAATTAGGGTTTTAAAAGATTAATTATTTAATTAAAATAAAATGATAAAAACCTGATAAATGAAAAAAAAAAGTCAAAACCTGATTTTTAAAAAGGTGAAACTTAATGCCTGATTTTATGCAATTTCCACTAATATGATTATTAGTGAATGAAAATTATACACTTGCAACCCTAATTATTATTATCATTGTATATCTAACTTTTTTCTTATAAATATGAAGATTTGATTCTTAATAAAACACACAGATCTATTGACTTTTCTAATATCTTCTCTTTTTTAAAAAAAAAATTAAAGTAAATTAGTTAGAAGGTAATAATTTTTATAACACATGTGAAAGAAGCGTTTTAGAACCAGATGCTAATGCTAATCATGTTCTATATATTTGTTTGATGAAAAGTCGTCAAAGAATATTTCAGTTAATTAATATAAAACTTGTATAGGTTCCAATGTTTTTTCACAAAATGTTACCACTGCAATCTATATTTCAGATCATAGTTTACAGGGCTAAGCTTGTTGTGGTATTGTTTGTCGTGTTCTCGTTCAGTTGTATATTTACTGCTATTCTTTTTTGAGAGATTTGAAAATATATCGAATTTAATTGTTTGTTTTCCGTGTTGTATATTGCATCACCATGACAATCGTAGACTCATTTTTATACACAACTAAATCCATGGAAGTTTTAACTTCTGCAACGAGTTAGGGAAAATATTTATGAAATTGTCATGGTATCTCCATTCCAAGTAAGAGATTTTATGTCTATGTAAATCATATAAAGCTATTGAAGTTGTGTTATAGTGTCGCAGTTCTATCAGGCCCAACCCTGGCCCAAGGCTAACAAGGTAGGGATTCATGGATTCAGGGGCCTAGCCCAAAACCCACCTAATTTCTCAAAATAATCTCGTTTTATCTAGGGCTAAAGAGACGATGAGAATCTGATTTGTAGAAGAAATTACATGTAATCATTCGTGCGGGTGTTCATACAATAAGCAGATTCGCAGAAAAAAATTACAAGTAATGGATTCTTGTCCTTTAATATCTCACTCATCTCATATATTGTTTTCAAGATTGTAGTTTTCTATGTTCATACGGTAGAGAATGACCCTGATTAGCAATAATTTATGGGTTCCTCTAATTCGAGGCCCCTATTTGGATGCTAACTGACTTAGAAAAAATAAAATTAGATTTTATGAAATTCTAGTTCGATGCCTAATTCTAAGTGTCAAACTTTGGAGTTTGGATTCCTCTAATTCTAATTGTTTAATTTAGGGCCCCTATTTGGTTTCTTCTAATTCAATGTTAGCGTCGAAAAGATAACAACGGATTAATGTTGACAAGATTTTAAGTAGTACTACGTTTGTAAAAAATTATATTTAAGGGCCTCATAATAAGTAGTCGCCGAAGGCCTCAAAATTTTCAAGGCAAGCCCTAAGTTCTAGTATCATTTCCTGGTCTATGATTAGTTGTAAAAGGTAAAAACAAACTAAAATTTCCACATGATTCAATGCTTCATTGTTCTATGATTATATTTACTAGAATATCTCCATGATTAGTCCATGGAACTTCAAGTCATATGATTTTACCAAAAGCTATATTTTCATTTTGCTTCATCTTTTATCTACTATTGAACAATGACTTGGTAGATAAGAAGAGAATTGCACGATTTGCTGGTTTTCTATTATTGGTTTTGAGCCACTCTTATACTGTATCTTTAAGAAAAATGTAACATGTGATAACTTGGAACAGCCTTGAACTTGTTTTTAGTCAGCTTCAGACCTATCTGTTCAAGTTCGCTAGCTACATCTTCCTGCATCACCGCTTCTCTCTCTATATCCCTCACGACCATTATAGCACCTTACCAAATGTTGTACTGCCTTCTCAAGTGAGCTGCGAACATTCCATTGACCAATCATTAAATGTGAATAGGTTCTCTAAGTCTCGAATTTCAACACCATCACAGAATGAATCGACTTTTCTATGGCAAAATATTGCCCAGATTTCTGCTGAGTTAGAATTAATAGATAAATTATTCCCCATTTACAGGGGCTCACCAGGGCACTCATATGGTGGCCCTGTTACGTGAAGTAGGGTTCTTAATAAATATATTGGGATCCATCAATTCAGGTACATATGCCCAGATCGGCATTGATCAGAGCGCCATCGAAAGTGCTACTGTTGAGTCTGGCAAAACCATTGTTATTAAGAATGGCATTAAGAAAAATGATATACACTATAGCACTAATTCTCTGAAGACTCAACTGTATCCCTCAAAAGAATTCATTGACCCTATAGAATAATTCTTCTAGCTATAATTATCAAAACGGTTATGGCCATTCTAGGTTGGGAAAAACGTATGGATATATGCATTATGAGGCTATAAACATATGCAGTTCAGATTTTTGTTCTTTTGATTGTGTGCTGGGATTTTAAATCTAATTTGAGAGTGTTATATTGGGCTGTCTCTTTATACTATTAGGCTGGGCTCTTTTGGTTGCTGATTCTGTGGACTTAAGTAAGAGAGGGTGAGGCAGAACAGGAAAAGAAAGAGAGCGAGATGACCACACCTAAGGAGAACACCGGAGTTGAACTGCGGGAAGAGTCCATAAATAAAGAAGTTGAGATGGAGGATGGTGGATTGAAAAATGCAGTTGATATTGGGGAGAGTGAACCAATTAATGAGCCGGAACACGAGCAGATTGATACAAAAATTGTAAAGATGGTTCAGCAAGAAAGTGAGCAAATAATGGCAGAATGTGTTTAGCAAATGGTTGAAAATGTTGTGGGGAATGAAGAGTAGAGTTTCATTGTTAAGTATGATATGGTGGAGAAGATGCATTATGAGTATGAAGACCCTTATCTCATTGAGGGGAAAGCTAACAAATTCAACTGTATCTTGCTTAATTCTTTCTTTCAGGTGGATCGTTGTACGTGAGAGTGCATACAACATCTATGGATGATTGTGTTTATGCTGCAATACATCCATACCTACAAAATGGATGGGTACTGTGTATTGATCCTATGCCATGGAAGGAAAAATTTTCCATTTGATCCAAGTGGTGCAGTGATGAGTTGTGTAGCAGACTGGTTATCCCCAACTCGATCACAAGGTACAGATTCGAGGACGAATCCTTTCAAAGAGAGAGGCGATGATATGATCTGGGGTAGGTAATCACTTGGTCGAGTTTTGGAGTCCAAATTGAAGAAGTTGACAAGCCAATGTTCAAGTTTTGTGAAGGGCTTGAGAGCCGAAACGAGTTGGATTCAAGTTTTGGAAGATATTTGGAAAGAATACGCGAGCACGTGGATGAAAACGGGCATAACTTTTAGCTTGGTTGTCGGATTTTTGGCCATGAGTACATTTCGGAGATGGCACGAAATTCTACACAAGGTTGTGTGAGCTAATGGTACTTTTGGGCTTGC